GGACTACAACGGCCCAAGGAGCGCTAAGGGCATCGTCGACGCCGTCGTCGACAAGATCAACAACCACGTGAAGCGCCTCACGGACAAGGACGCCGACAAGTTCCTCGAGGCCGAGCCCGAGAAACCCAAGGCGCTCCTGTTCACCGAGAAGGGCACGACGAGCGCGCTGCTCCGCGGCATCGCCATCGACTTCCTCGACGTCATCTCCGTCGCCCAGGTCCGCGACAAGGAGACCAAGACGAACGAGAAGTTCGGCGTCAAGTCCTACCCGACCCTCGTCTTGCTTCCTGGCGGCGGCAAGGACCCCATAGTGTACGACGGGGAGATGAAGAAGGATGCCATGGTCAAGTTCCTCTCGCAAGTCGGCGAACCGAACCCGGACCCTGCGCCGGCGAAGTCCAAGAGCGAGAACAAGAAGGCCGATAAGAAGGACAAGAAATCATCCAAGCCACCCAAGGCTGCGGAAGAATCTTCCACGGCCTCGGCGGAGTCGTCCGAGTCTACCGATGTTCCTCCCGTCGTGAACAAGCCCGTTATCACCGAAGCCGCACTACCTATCCCGGCGATCACCGCACCGGGTAAATTGGCCAAGGAATGCCTGAACAAGAAATCGAAGAGTTGCGTGCTGGCCTTCGTCCCCTCGGCCCACGGCGAGACGGCGGAGAAGGCCTTGACTAGCCTCTCGGAGATCGCACACAAGTACGCGCAAGGCAAACACCACTTGTTTCCCTTCTACGAGGTCCACACCGACAGCGACGAGCCGGCGTCCCTCCTCAAGAGCCTGGACCTCGCCGGTGAGGTTGTCGTCGTCGCTCTGAACGGTAAGAAGGGCTGGTGGCGACAGTACGAAGGCGATTTCAGCCGAGAGAGTATCGAGAGCTGGATCGACGTCATTCGCCTGAACGAGGGCGTCAAGAAGAAGTTGCCAGAGGGCGTCATTGGCGAGGCGGCGGTCGAGGAGAAGCCAGCGGAAGAGACAATCGAGGTCAAGGTTGAGGAGGAAGTGAAGATCGACATCGAGCCAGAAACAGAGACTGAGACGCCTACAAAGGGCGCGGAGCCCACTCCAGAAGCCACGCACGACGAGCTTTAAAATAAGGAATCAGGGGGTTAGTTACTTAGTATAGTGCTTGGCAATTTAATCGATTTGTTGCTAGTTTGCGTTGTTTGAAGGTTCGAGGGTACTGGGTGACTTGAGTGACTGGGTGCATGACTTACCGCACGACTGCTAGAACGAGTGCCCGCGTAGCTGTCCGCGCTGCTGTCCATAAGTCCTCCACGGTCCGGTGCCACCGTAGTCTCTGCGTACGTCGATCGATTTCTGCATGCAGCGACTGAGGCTTACTTGTCCCGATGCGATACAATGCGATACAATGCGATGCGACCCCGATACCCTAGACATCGATATCCATCGCCATACGGACCCCCTTCTCCACCGTGCCCTCCAAGACCATCTTCCTCCCCTTCTCGCGCACGACGCCGTCGAGGAACTTGCGCAGGTCCACGCACGCGCTGGCGGCGGCGGCCATCATGCCCTCGAGGCGGCTGACCTGGACGCGGCTCTCGCACACGAGGACGGAGACGCGGTCGGTGGCGCCGAGCGTGGCCAGGGTCAGGAAGGGCAGCTCCTGCTCCTCCTGGGTGTTCAGGTCGACCAGGGGGTCGGCGCCCTCGTCGTTGGCCGCGTACGACGACGTGCTGCCCGCCGTGCAGGCCACCAGGTAGTCCGTCATGGGGATGCCGGCGTCGACGAGCGCCAGCGTCGCCGCGTTGATGAGCGCCGCGAGCAGGGACCCGTCCTGCGAGAGCACGTGCAGCCCGATGGCGATCGTCGAGCGCGGGTACAGGTGCGTGTGCAGGTTGGCCGCGAGCGCTTTGGAGATGGTCGCTTGCAGTTCCTGGATGCGTCTGTTCGTTTGGGGTTTCCCCGTTAGTAAGATTGCCAAAAAATCTGTGGTTGATTTGGCTCTAGGTAAGATAAGGTAAGGGGTTACAGGGGGCAAACGTACTTATCGTTCTTCGCCCTCTTCTTGCGATCCACGGAGCTGAAGCCCGCGACCACGACGCTCACGGCGACGTCAGCGCCGTTCGCATTGCCGCTCCCCCCCGGGCCCGTAGCCGCCGTCGTCGAGGCGCTCGTCACCTTGCGCCGGCCGTCCTCGCTAGGGCCCGACACGACGCACATGACCTTGGTGTTGCCCATCTCGAGGTAGGACGAGCCGTCGGCGGCGGCCTGGGTGCGGATCTGCGCGTGCAGGTGGCGCAGGTTGTCCCAGCGGCGGCCGTCGACGCGCAGCAGCCCTATGCCGTAGGTCGAGGTGTCGAGAGGCATGGCTTCGGGTTTGCAACTTTCGCGTTGGACGAACGGATGGATGGATGACAAGATGTTCTTCTCTTCCTTCGCGTGACGGACGAAACGGGGCGCGATGAGACCTTGACTGTTCTGCTGTATGGCCTCGGATATTTATCTTGTTCGGTTCGGTCGACAGGTGTGAGCGAGTCTCGAACCTGAGTATATCGGGGGAAGAACAAGAGGAAGAAGAAGAAGTGGTCGGTAGGCAGAGGTAGGAGAAGGGATGATGCTGGTGTATGATTAGGTACGGCTGGGTGTTTGTCCGTCAGAAGCTTGATCTACATCAAGGTGAGCGAGTGAGCATGAGTTAAGAATTCGAAATTTTGGTGGGGTTGAATTGGGTTTCTTGTCGAGCTACGGCTGGGCTGCAGGGGGCTGCAGGGAGCCAGCCACTGGAGCTAATATAGTACATACAGCTTCTTATATTTATCGATAAGAGAAGAGGAGTCTCTGTTTTCTCTGAATGACCTCATTCTCAGTCGAAGCCCAGCAACCCCAGTGACGTAGCCCGCGGCTTGTGTTTTGCGTACCAGCCAGCTTATATACATACGGTCTAGTGAACAATTCCTTGTTTTACCGTAAAAGATTTAGGTTCTACACCGGGTGGCATTCATGTTGTTTTGAGAAAGGACAGCAGATGAAAGAGGTGATGGATCATCGATGATCAGTGAGTGTATTGGAGGGGGGCTTCATATATAAACTACTGCCATACAGTCCAGTTCTCCGCGTCGTACTTCCATGAATGGCATATATAGACTGGTACCAGTGCTCTAATGATGGTAGCAGTTATCGTCATCGTAATCATATTTATAGTAACAGTCGTAGCGATGATATCCTTGCTCCCTGGGGTGAACCCTTTGCCCCGGCATGCCGAAACTCCAACAGTAATGAAATAAGCAATCCAAACTCATTTACTCGTCTCATGCGAATGCTTCTATGCTAGCGCCATGTAGCAGCAGGTTCTGAAGCTCGCTGTCCGTAAGGATCGGAGCGTTCAGGTCCAACAGCCGCTTCGGAGGCTTTTCCACCTCCTCGGCATCGGTCCAGCCCCTCTCCGGGCCCCAGCTCTGCTTCAACCCGCGCTCGGCCACGAGGGCGAGAAGGCCGCGCACGAGCCCGCCCGACTTCTTGACGCTGGGCCAGGCGTCGAACTCGACGCAGTCAACCCACGGCATCTCGTCGAGCGCCTTCTCGAGCAGCGACTTGGAGAAGCCCTCGTAGAAACCGTCGGCTTGGCGGAAGCCGCGGAAGATGTCGTTGCCCGGGTCGCACTCGACGAAGACAGTGACCTTCCGCACCGAAACGCAGTCCCGCAGGCCCAGCTCCGGGTTGACGACCCACCCCCGCGGGGGCTTGCTCCAGCCGGGCCCCAGGCGCAGCTCGAGCGACGTAATGGTTCCGCGCTGTCCCGGCTTCAGGCGCGCGAGGAGCGGCTTCTTGGTCTTGAAGAAGCGGCCCGGGTGGGTCGGGAAGATGCGGACCGGGTGCGTGCTGTAAAAGAGGTATGACGCCTCCCGGTAGATCGTGCGGCAGGTGCGCAGGATCGCCAATTTCTGGTGGATGCGCTTGTAGTTGTCCGGGTCGAGGTCGAGCACGTCGCCCGTGTTGGCGAAGTGGTAGCCGTAGACCTCGAGGCGCAGCTCGTGGGGGAGCTGGAGGAAGCGGAAGGGCTTCGAAGGGACTCTCCTGCGCTTGGGCGCATTCGCGATTGGCACGTCGAGGGTTAGGGCACCGATTGGGAGTTTGTCGATCTCGTCGTTGATATCGTCGATTTCGACCTCGGAAGTATAGGCGGATGGCAATGCCGAACTAGCCGGCGTGGTATAAGTCGAGGAAATGGGTGTAGGGCGGGAAGCCACAGCGACGGCCTGCGGCTTCCTTCCGTTGGCGGAACGGCGGTGCATCTTGGATATGTCCCGGTAATCTTCTCAATCGCGGTATGGGATATTCAATGATAAAAATAGCCAGGCGAAAATAAGGTTGTTGTTTCGCTGCAGGTCAATGGGGCGGAGCAGTATCAGGACGTGGAGACGCGGTACAAAGGCATGCGACAACGTTACTTCGTAGAATACCACAATAGAAAGACTGCCAGTTCAGGCAGTCCGTCGATGGCGAAGTTGGGTGCCTTGGTTGCTGGGTTGCTCGGTACTGGCAGACGATACGGATCCAGGTTAGGTAGGATGGACTCAATTGATTTGTTGATCGATTGTCTGCGATGTCAATACGGTAGTCTAATTCGTCAAAGTATGGGCAGTTGGACGACTATGAGGCATCTTGAGGGTGGTGTCATCGTTGAAGGACTCCAGCGATCGACTACCACCCTCTCAAAACGCAGCACTTCTAGCTAGCATTTTCTATACGTGGTTAGGCAATGGGCGTAGAGGTGATAGGAATAAGGCTGGGAGTTCACGAGGGTCATTTATTTGGTGGCCACCTTGATGATTATAATCGATGTTGCTGACCCCGATATGGATGTTGTTGAGATTGACTTGACCTGGTGCAAGTCGTGCAAGTCGCAGTCGCCGTGGAGGCAGTCCCCGTGCAGTCCGTGGCGGAAGTCGCCCCCGAGGATGAATAATACATGTAAGTCGGGCCAGCCAAAAGTCAGGCCGATAACGGCGAGGAAACGGCAAAAAAGAAAGTCACGTGCGGTGTGTGCGGATCGAACGCACGACCTTCAGATTAAACCAATGATTCAAGAATGAAGTTGAACTTCAGTCTGACGCTCTCCCAACTGAGCTAACCCCGCGTGATAAAAATTTGATTTTATGCTGCTCTATAATTCGGCGTGATGAGAGTGGGGCAGATGGTGTTGTTGATTGGTAAGGGTCTGTTGGTAAGAGACTAAATATTCCTTCCCCCTTGGACGCCTCGTAGGGGGCGAGAACTGCAGGTTATGTTTTTCAATAGTAAGGGTTAAACCAACAACTGCACAAGCCTGACAGGATTGACTAGTCCCACTGCAATAGATCCGTCTGCTTGTCTCTAATAAGCCGCAGTCCACGGCCGAGATCAAGATCAGGATTAAGTTTACGCAATATGCCGTTCTCTCGCTTCTAGTCTTCTAGAAGCGCAGCTAGAACTGGCTGGCCGGTTTTATAAGAATGGACCATCCAGCAACCTTCCTGATGGAACAAAGACTCGAGGTTCTACAGGATTCGACGAAAAAACTAATAGCTAGGTTGCTTCCACACGTCTGAAGCCTCGAGTGGCAATGCAAGACATCTATCTCGTCTCGTCACTATACGACCAGCCCACGGCGGAATAGGTATCATTAGTTATACATTGCCACGAGTCAAAAGAGGGCGATGTCGGTGCTTTCTTGAGATGAGAATGATAATCACGGGTTCTTTGAAGAAGGTATCTGGCAAACAGCTCCTTTTACACCACGACTGGCATTCGGGGGACGTTTGTCACGGCCAGAATCGATGTCCAAATATTTACCTACCAAATGGACTCCCAAGGTCGAAGGTATTTGAGGGCTTTCCATCTGATCTCATGAGTATCCTGGGTTGTCGACTCATCCTTGACAGCTCTTGTACGACGTATCGAGACTCATTATTGAGGCATTGGCATAGCTGGACGGCAGGGACTTGAGATACCACGAGACAGATACTGATGTGGCCATTGTCAAGTATGACTAGTGGCTGAATCCATACAACTGGGAACTGCATATAAATACGGAGACCAACGCAAGAAAAGGAGAAGGGGATATCAGCTAAAGTCTCTGAGCCAGGTACAGTGAATTGTACCTAGGTGGGCTACGATGTCCCCCGGCACCATCTAGGTAAAAAAGAGCCACCACGATCTCGAACCCACCTTGTCCAAGTGTCAGCTAGCGTCTTCATAGAATGAAAATTTGTATATAGAGTTCGTTTGAAGAGAATTTTACATCAACAAGGCGGGGTTAGCTCAGTTGGGAGAGCGTCAGACTGAAGTCCAACTTCATTCTTGAAATATTAGTTTAATCTGAAGGTCGTGCGTTCGATCCGCACACACCGCATGCGATTTCCTTTTTGCATTTGTTTTGGCTTCAGTAAGAAGAGATTGGAGTTTTGCCCTGGGGTTCATATGTCGTTGGCAGAGTCATTCGCAAATATTTCATTGGGTGCGCTGCAAAGAGCCGCAGCAGCTGATTGGTTCAAATAGATCGGTGTTTTCAAGGGTTCTGGTGCCGATATATTATAGCACCTTGGGACTGAAGGGTGGAGGGGTGGAGGGGCGGAGGGGCAGAGGGGCAGAGGAGTAGCTATTCGTAACTTTTTGTGTGTGGGTGATATATCAGGAGAGCTGGAAGATGAGAAGGACAACAAGGCTGTAAGTAGGTACTAAGTAGTGAGGTACCTCCGACGAATACCAAAATGAACGTAAAATACTCGAGCTTATATAAGGATCAATAAACAGCCAGGAGAACATCAGGTTCTCTCTCACCCATCAGCATCTAACTACCACGTAATGCTCTGCAGTTTCATCATGTACCTGACAGAGATGTTCCCCTCCAGGCTCCCTGCTTCAGGGCTGTTCCCCTTGCCCCGGCCCCTCCGGGCGTGGCCGGTCCTCGAATTAGCAGCCAATGAGAGGAACGAATGGAATCTTATCGATGCATGGAGTCAATCCAGCCAATGAAACTTATACATTGCTATGGTCTGGGCTATCGTACGGTATGTCATTGTACTAAGTACCGAACTAACTCAATTACACCCATCAATGATACTGAAGTCATTTTTTTCGATATCGTCGCACATCCGAGCCCTCAGGTCCTCCACCTAAGCACCTAAGCACTTAAGCCCAGGTTGCAGCGCCAAGTTCACTTGTTAACATTGCCGGTACTGTGAGATCTTGACAACCGACCCTCTGTCGATTTAATACTTTTTCTAATCCTTTCCACTTCTTACAGCAGTTATATCTTTCACAAGGTACTTTCAGAGCCAGTCCAAGCGCGAAAATGCTTTCCAGAGCTTTCGCGCAGGCTGCGCGATCGCCAGCTCTGTCGAGGACAACCTCGTTCGGTCCGACAAATCCAGCCCTGTCTCGGGCCAGAATAGCAGCGTCGACGTCAACAATATGGTCGCGTGGCATGGCTAGCAACAATAGCAACAACAATAAATCACAGAATAGATCACCGAAAGCTCCCGCTCCAAACCAGCAGCCGCAGCCGCAGCCGCAGCAGCAGCAGCAGCAGCAGCAGCAGAAGCAGAAGCAGCAGCCACCACAACAGCAGAAGCAACAGCCACCGCAACAGCAGAAGCAGCGACAAGCGCCCCCTCCTCCAAGTCAACCATCTGACAACGCAACCTCACCACCAACCCCTCCCGCCAAAGAACCTGAGACGCCTCAACAGAAACCAGATCTCAGCTCTCTCCCCGACCTCACGCAGGGAATTCCATCCACTCTCGAGCATGAAACGAGCGGCGCTACGAACAAATCCTCCCTCGAGCCTCTAGAAGAGACTGCCGCCGATGCCGAAGCCGAAGCCGGATCAGGGGGTCGCGGTCGTGGTGAACTGCCAGCGTCGGCATACGTCTCCTCGACAGACAGACGAAGAAACAGAATGGCCAAGGCCATGTACTGGTCTGCTTTATTCATTGCCATCGGTGGTGTGTCCTATCTCGGTCGCGACTGGGAAAGCGACGAGGAGGCCAAGGCGTATGGCGACATCCCCAATGGTTGGACTCCTGCTCTGTGGTGGAAGCGCGCTGTGGCCCGTCAATCCGGCATCCTAAAATACTACCAAGAGCCTGCCTTCGACAAGCTGCTACCGGACCCCGATCCCATGTTCGAACGGCCCTACACGCTGTGCATAAGTCTCGAGGACATGCTGGTGCATAGCGAATGGACCCGAGAGCATGGCTGGCGAGTCGCGAAGCGTCCCGGTGTCGATTACTTCCTGCGTTACCTCAGCCAGTATTACGAGTTGGTCCTGTTCACTAGTGTGCCATATGCTATGGGAGAACCCCTGATCCGCAAGCTAGATCCTTTCCGGTTCATCGTCTGGCCGTTGTTCCGGGAAGCCACCAAGTATAAGGATGGCGAGATCGTTAAGGTCAGTGCTGCTTAGATCGATACGTCATGGTCCCTGAATCATGGTTGTTGCATCGTGGTCGGGGTCATCTTGAGGGTCCTGTATAGAACTAATGATGCCTGCAGGATCTATCTTACTTGAACCGGGACCTTTCCAAGGTCATCATCTTGGATACGAAGGCGACGCATGTACAGAACCAACCAGAGAACGCCATCGTCCTTCCCCCATGGAAGGGAGATGCGAAAGACACCGAGCTCGTCTCCTTAATCCCCTTCCTCGAGTACATCCACACCATGCAGTACCGGGACGTCCGGAAGGTGCTGAAGTCGTTCGAGGGCAAGCACATCCCAACGGAGTTCGCGCGGCGCGAGGCGCTCGCCCGCGCCGAGTTCAACAAGCAGCTCGAGCAGGAGCGGCGGAAGACGTCCAAGTCGTCGGGCATGGCGACTCTGGGCAACCTCCTCGGCCTCAAGCCCAGCAAGATGAGCATGATGGTGCCCGTGGACGGCGAGCAGAGCCAGAGCGAAGCCTTCGCGCAGGGCAAGATGCTGCAGGACATCGCCCGCGAGCGGGGACAGAAGAACTACGAGCTGCTCGAGCGCGAGATCCGCGAGAATGGCGAGAAGTGGCTCAAGGACGAGCAGGCCGCCCAGGAGAAGGCCCAGGCCGAGGCCATGAGCAGTATGAAGAGCTCCTTCACGGGCTGGTTCGGCGCGCCTTCGCCACCGCCTGCCACAAGCGATAATGCGACAAGCAACAAATAAGGGGTCGATCGGGTTTGTTCTTCAATGAAACGGTTACATTCGATCTACATACCAAACCGATGTGTTCTAGTTTAGTGTTCGTGTACTATCACAGGAGAGGTTTGAAAAGCTTGGGGGATGGGGATGTCCGTGTACGGTATGATATGAACGGTATGAGGAGAAGAAGAAGGTAATGCAATACGAGGCATTCATGAGACGAAAGAATACATATCTATGTACATGCCATATGAAGGCGGTAAGGAGGGGCGCGGCACATCACCAGGCGTCCGAGCGTCTATGCGTCTACCACATTTTCCTGGGCTCGAACTCTACTCCTGTTTTTGTTTTTGAATTTCTGGCATCATCGATATATACATCGGACTGGGTATGCATGATCGGCGCGCTGGCTTCAGGATCAAATATAGTGCTATGTTCCAGTCTATTGCGATTAGGCTGGAAGGGGGGGCACTCCGAGACGACGAGGCAGAAAGAAGGCTGGCCCCAACCAACCAGGCGAAACGGATAGACGTAGTAATTCCTGTATATTAGAAGGAACAATTTACTGTTCACATGTCCCATCCTTGTTTTGTTGTAGAAGCCCTATCCGCGCGCCTCCCATCGAAACCCCATGGCCAGCACTTGCCGTGCCGGTACCCAACCCTCCTCGGTCTCCGCGCTTATATGTTCAAGGACCCAACTTGCGCTACCTATGCTATATATGATGGCTTCCTGTGGCCCTTGGTTGGTCCCACGCGGAGTCGTGCTCGAAGCACCACTCGCAGTCGGGTCTCGTCACGCATTGGAAGTCGCTGGAATACATATACGTCAGCTCGTGTCGCACATACAGTATTCCATCGACTTGATAATAACCTCTCCCCCCCCCCCCCCCCCTGTGTCTCCCCCTTTTTCTTCTCTGGTTCGACTTACTCGCAAGGATAGAGGAAACTCACTCATTGCAGTGGTGGCACTCGTCATAGATCCTGG